GTTTGCTCTGCTATGGAGCGTGAAACATTGTGCATTCTGCACCAGGCCAGATTTTTACCTTAGCCAGCTGCCCAATACAATAAATATTTAACATCACCAATTTGCCAGTTCAATTTAAAAACCCTGTCCAGCTGAAGACCCAAGTTCAAGACTGTTGGCTTTTGATAAGGATGCAGGATGGAATGTGCAAGGCCCACTGGGACTAAACACCCTAAGTTTTGTTTTCATCTTCATTTCCACCAGATTAGGCAAAAGTGGCCTCAGTGAGAGGGCATCTTTTATTTGATCGGTGGAAAATAGATCTGACGATTACCCGCATAGCCGCGGAAGGAAATGCCTTGTTTTCTTAACATGGAACCCAAGTGCAGCGGGTGCAGTGAAAACAGCAGAGGCCCCGCCATTGATCCCTGTGGAACACCGTAAGACAGTGGGGCGCTGCATGACTCGGAACGACCAGCGCTAACACCAAAACCTCTGTCAGACACTCTCCCCTCAAAATGCAAGTTTGTGTCCTATTTATTCAGTGCCCCAGCATAGGGCCGAATGATTTTAAGATGTCGAATCAGGCTTCGGTTCAGGGGCAAAATTCACACATTTACAAACAGACGGAAAATTGCATCATAACATCTCAACTTTGAAAACTGTTATGCGAATGCATGGATGAAAACGGAAGCTAAGAATTGCTTCCCATGGTATTGTAACAAGATTCATGCATGGACATAAAGTCCTTGCCAACGGATGTTATTACAACTCCGCTGGAGGACCCATCTTTGACTGGAAAAACTAGTGGGGAAAAAAATTCCTCAATTTTGTACAATATAAAACAATTTTCAAATTAGGCTAAATAAGAGACCGGAGGCAAAGTTCAACACTTTCAATAAATAGTTCAACACCCGAAAAGGAAACTGAAATTATATTAAAAAAAATAAACTCGTTGAAAAATACAATTACAGTACTTTTGCCCTTGTGAAAAAAAATGGGTCATTCATTGATGATCTTTTTCATAAACAATCGAATTTTTACTGAAAATGGTCAATACTTTCTTTTAAGAACGACTCACAAGTCAGTGTGGAACAAACTAAATGTTAAAAGTACTCTAATACCTAGCTGACTTTTTGGGGGGGGGGGGTCAGGGTTTAAAAACAAACAAACGAGTCTTTGGACGTGAGCTCTGACATGCGACATTTCCACGAGTAGCAAACAATCTCTGGTGGCTGGTATGCGCAGGAATGGACGAGTCGGTTTGCTCTGCTATGGAGTGTGAAACATTGTGCATTCTGCACCAGGCCAGCTTTTTACCTTAGCCAGCTGCCCAATACAATAAATATTTAACATCACCAATTTGCCAGTTCAATTTAAAAACCCTGTCCAGCTGAAGACCCAAGTTCAAGACTGTTGGCTTTTGATAAGGATGCAGGATGGAATGTGCAAGGCCCACTGGGACTAAACACCCTAAGTTTTGTTTTCATCTTCATTTCCACCAGATTAGGCAAAAGTGGCCTCAGTGAGAGGGCATCTTTTATTTGATCGGTGGAAAATAGATCTGACGATTACCCGCATAGCCGCGGAAGGAAATGCCTTGTTTTCTTAACATGGAACCCAAGTGCAGCGGGTGCAGTGAAAACAGCAGAGGCCCCGCCATTGATCCCTGTGGAACACCGTAAGACAGTGGGGCGCTGCATGACTCGGAACGACCAGCGCTAACACCAAAACCTCTGTCATCCAAATAGGATCTAAAATAGGATCTCTACCGCTAATGCCCACCGGGTGCTACAAACAAGCCGGCTGAATACTTTGGCCTGCAGTTACAGCCAACAAAGCAAGACACTGTCTCCACTGTCATTAGCCGGTATGATGTAATTAAAGACCTCTTAACAGGTTGACTCTCTGCTATGCATCATCTTAAAACCTAACTGGAAAATCGCAAACACTCGTCTTTGGTGACAAACTCAAAATCCGCTCATGTTAGAACATTTCGCCTCCGATTGGAACGTGTGACCTGAGCACGTGTGGCACCTTTCTTCTGATCGATGAGTGTGACCTTTGTGCGCGTACCGCTTCTTATAGTGTGGAGATGGCATGCAAGCGTAAAATAGTGTTCACTACTGATCCTGGACTCTTTAGGAGCCTTGCCAAAAGCGGCAGCTCACGATCTCGAGATCGCGTTTTGCAAAATCACAGATAAATCGTTCAGCTCTACTCTGGCGTGTCCAAAGATTAAATGCTCTATAACGACATCTTGTTTGCAAGCGGGGGTTGCCCGGCAGCAGAGGAGCATCTGCACGGGGATGCGGCCGCCAGGTCATCCGGAGTCAACTCCTCCTTTGACTGGCTTCTTGACATGTCTGCATCTTGTCATCGAGAGACGACACCCAAACCACTGCAGGTGCTGGTTCACGTTCAGCTGCCATTTTTGGGTTCACTTTATCCTAATGGGCCATTTGCAATGTATCACAGTATCATTTTAGTGAATGAAAATGCTTTTAAGAAAACAAAAACTTAAACTACATAGAACTCTCACTCAAATTTTACGGAAATGTCCATCGTTTTTGTATTTCTCAATGCACTTAATACATGAGCCTTTGGGTTGATTTGAAATGATTTTATTTCGGCAACACAACCAGAAGGAAGGTCGAATGGTCGTTTGGGAATCGGAACTTGAATGTAGTGGATTTTAAGCCACAAATCTACTTTAGTTGGCAACTTGGCGAAGAAGGGGTGCAAAGTGAGGCCATACGAGCTTCAAGACTTGAGGGTTGTGATGCGTCTAACTTTTGAAGCAGCTTTAAGCACTGCACTTAATGTACTTCAAAGTCTGTGGACTGTACAGTATGTGTTTTTAAAATATATTTTTTTAATCCTGCACACAAGAAATACACATATTTAAAAACACTAAAACCTGCCCTGAAAAATACATTTAAAAAATTCTAAAACTATTTTAACCTTGATCACAGGCAACCGTGAGGCCAACCAGTCGCAGTCAGTCGAAGGTGACAGCGAAGCCAATATTAGACCTGGAATGTGATAACCTCGCCGACCAGGTAAAGCCCCCTCCCCCCCACCCCTTTTCAAATAACAGTAACGCTGTGATAACACGTATGTAAAAGTTTGCAGATGCTGTAACCACAACCAGTCCATCAACAGGCAGACTGGCAAGTTTGGAACTGGAGGGAATCCTCAGCATCCTTCACGGAGACCCCTTCAACACCAGAAAGCAGCTTCCTCGCACGCCTGAGAGTTTGAGTGAGTTGGCTGCTGCTTTTTCCTGTACTTTCAAAAATCCACTGATAGTATTGATAAGAGCTTCAATTCATTCTGCTGCACCTTGTGGTGTGCTTGTCATGGCCACAAGGGGGCAGTGTAATACAATTTCACAGACATAAGCAGCTTCTCATTTTTCATTTTTCTTACCTTTTTTCTTTTCAAGTTGTGGACGTGAAAAGCTCCTGGCAGAAGGCGCTCGAGGAAGACGATGATGCAAAAAAATGCGACAAGAGCGTGTTTGGGTGCCGCACTCCCTTCCGCGAGCCTTGCGGCGGTGTCGCGCATCGGCCTGGAAGCTCAGGCGACTGTGCCTCCACTTCAAACCACAGCAGCCAGCAGTCGTTTTGGGGCACATTCCACGCGACGACCCCAATCAGCCTCCAGCAAGAGACGCTGCCCCACCTGCTGAGCTTCGACAGTCTGCTAAGCCTCGAGGATGACACAGAGGAAGAAGTACTTATCCCCTGCCTGAACGAGGATGACACGCGGTCGGCGTTGAACCCCGGCGGGGGACACAGGGCGCAGTCGTGCCATGGCAGCTCATCTGAGTGCCTTCTATTGAATTTTGATGTTACGGCTGCAAGCGGAGAGTGACAGTTGCCGCCTGCTGTATTTCCCGCTGCATTTTGACACACTGAACAAAACCTAATTGCCACCTCTCCACTCGGCACATTCTCACCGAACGATGATAAGAACCAAGTGTCACTGTCTTGTACAGTTATCCGAATTGCATCAACACAAAGTCATCTCAAGGTCCAGTCCACCATATTGCACCTCACTGTTTCTGGCAGTGCCTTTCACATTCATGATTCAAACACAATTGTTACTGTGCAGTATTTTGGTTTCTGACATCTGGCCTGTTTGATTCACTGGCTGCCAGCTCAAAAATCATTTGCTGCAGTTAAAATCCAGTGAAAAACATATTTGCTTTGTTTCCATGTGATTATATAGGAGACGGACGGGTAGGAAAAGGGTGATTTAATCACTCAGTGGAAATGTTAGTGCCACTAACCTGTGCTTTTTGACTACAAGTTGGAAAGTTATGCGAGAAATGTTTCTATTTGAAAATGAATTCACTTGGTGTTTTATTTTGTAACTCATACATGTTTGTCGGCAATAAATAATAGTTCAACACTTATTTTGTCTCAATGGTACACATTAAAAAAAGTATGCCATCCCAATTAGAAAGAAATTTGACAAGTCAAGCTGGTGGGATGTTTCAAAGTACAAATGTTTTGCTCCTACGGATTTCTCAATTCCCTGTACTGTACTTGTTTTTCTGATCACTTCATACATGGCAATTTTCCGCGGATCCGCGGAAATCCGCCGTTTTATTTCTTAAATTGATCATTTTTGTGAATCGTCTAAATCCGTTGAGAAAATTTTAGGGGCGGTCAGGTACCTTATCGTCGAGTTTTCACGAGCTCTCCCGAACAGTCTCTCCGTTTTCCGTTTGTAAACAGCCCTGCGATTGGACGACTTGAAAGAATAGTGGCGATCTTGGGATTTTTTTCTGTTCAATTTTCAAACTGTGTAAATTTATTACACTTCATCTTCAGCATGTTTAGTGCCACTTTTGTAAGTAACCACGCCCCCGTCCAGGCCACGCCCCCGTACAGGCCACGCCCCTTCCGCTTTTTTCATCACTCGCCATTGCCATGTATGTCACTTTTAATACGTACATTTATATATAGTTTGTCTCTCAATAGCTTTTTTCCCCGTTGTACTAAATTATCCAAGTAGATATTGGTCAGAACTGTAAAAAAATTCGTCCGTATTTAAGTACATTTCAGAGTCTGTACTTTTAAGGAGTTAAAAGCGACAACCAAGTGTAATTAACACTGACAAAATTGTTCTTTGACGCAAATCGTTCATTTTAGTGTGGAAAAAAATGCATTTCCGCCATTTGGCTTTACTTTGAAATCGTAAACCGGAAAGAGCACACTCGCTAGCTTGATGCAGGCTCTGCGCGTCGGTCTCTTCGCTTGCTTGTCGAGTCTGGGCGGTTCCGTCCTGCCTGCCTGCCTGCCTGAAGAGCTTCGCAGGAAGAAAGCGCAGCAACAAAACTACCAACGCGCACACAAACATGGCGGCGGCGTGCCCGAGCAAGAGCCGCGCTTGAAAAAGTGTGGCCAAACTTAAGTCACCCGTCGGAGAACTTTCACTTGGGATTCAGCGCGCCCTTCCCGTAACGCGGAACTTGGCGAGCGGGCTCAACAGCAACTTGCTTACATGTCAACATTGGCCCCCTCGGCGGTGTAAACAGCCGGTAAGTAGCGACGTCTTCTTCTCTAGCGTCTCCTTATGAGACACTTTCGCGATTCCGAGTGCAGGCGAGGCGACTTGTTGAGCTTTTTTTTCGCTCCTTCCACTGTTCGACGCAAAGTTGAGACAGCCACGTATCCACAAATGCACATTCGTGTTCCTGCGAATGCGGTTTATTTCCTACAATTACACTGACCTAGGGGCGTTTCTTGCCCCCCCCACCCCCGCCGGGGTCACAGGCAGCAGCTATCGAGCGCCCTCCGACTAAAAACAAGACGATGGCCATATTTTATGAGATGATTTTAAAACAGTTAGTTTGTGACCAACACCGAAAACAAACGTCATAGGCATTGCATAAATAATTAAATAGATAATTCACACTTGAAATGTGCAAAACACAAATGCGGCCCCATTTAGGAGCTTTCCCGAACAACGTTTGTATCGTTGCGGCGTCTTCAATTGTGTTGGTTCACCATGACGTAACGCCGCAAGTAAACAAACAAAATGTCCAAGGCGATTGAGAAAACAGTGTCAATGCCTGGCTTGAATGATGACTTGAACTTTTTTCTTTACCGCCGTAGTTTAGATGTGTGACGTGTCAGTCGACAAGTCGATGTGACTGAAACGTAAACCTCGCTTAAAAAAAAATAGACACGGTGTCAAGTCAGACTGCTGACATGGTCACCGAGGGACTGGCTGGTTCCTGTAAGGTGAATTGTATTTGAAATGAAACAAACAAAAAATTTAAGCTTCGATTTGAGGGTATTTGCATTCAAATCAGGTGTAGGGATTCCATGTGTATGTATATGCTGCATACTTTTCACAAGTACGGCAATTTGAATTTTGAACAGTTAATTCAGCCATTCTTTCATGTTGATTGTTTTACGATGCTGCAAAGGAGAATATGTTCTCTACTTACTCGAGTGGAGCCCACAGATGACTTTCAGAAAGAGATGTGCAAGGTTACATGTGACCTATTATGCATTTTTTTTTTCTTGTTGACAAATTGTACTACAATTTTTGTTGACAATAATCTTTGCGGGGAATTCCCGACTAGTTGCAGTGAGTACAGCAGCGTCGTTCTTGTGTCATCAATACCAATCTCAACCGTCTTTCGGGGACCCCTTTGGCTTTTGGCCCTCGGCTCTTGCCTTGGGTTGCCTTGTCCTCTTGCAGTGTCTCTACGTTGACCTAGTTATGTGGTCGCATGCAACAGTTGGAAATATAACACCTCCACTCCCTCCTTTTCCCTCCGGGCCGACCGGCCGGCCCACCCCGTGGCGCCTGATTGCATTGTGTCTTTGCAGGTGTTTGCTCTCAGGCGCATTGTACTGCTTTCACATTCAGAGTGACCTAAAAGTGGTCCACCCAAAATTATGGTTCGGTACCTATCTTCATTTTATACAAATATTGCACATACCAGAAACCGCCATTGTGTGAATATTATTTTACTTTCATTCTTATTTGCTGTATATTTATCATTTCTGTGTTACCTATCGTGTGGAGTATCTCTGTTAGCAAAATGCAAAAGTAGATAATAGCCTTTCAAAATAGTCACCGGGGTTAGAATAATAGTTTGGAATTTTTCATGATCATAAATTTTGCTTTCGTTTACTCCAGTTAGGTTTAATTAGTTTTTAGAGCAGTTTTTCAGCCTGAAAATGCTTTGTTCTAGTTTAATTTGTATTTGTTTTTTTTGATGTAGGTAGCATTTGTTGAGCGCGAGATTTAAAAGAAAAAAAAGGTCATTAAATATGATGTAATACAGTAAATTAAACTACAATTCTGAAACAATTGTTTGAACTTCCTTTTTCTGTACGGACATAAGATAAGATAACCTTTATTTGTCCCACATTGGGGAAATAGATTCAATACTGAAAATAAATACATCTAAAATGAACCCTGAAAGCTCATGTGTGATATGAAATGACAAAGATGAACACAAAGGACTTTTTTTTTTTTTTTGCTATTAGAGTTCCTTTTAATTAGTTTCATAAACGTCAGATGTAGTTATAGTTGGTTTTCCTTTATTTATATATTTTTTTAATATTTTTTTAATTTTTATTTGCTGAACAAAAAATGCTTTTTCAATTTTAGTTGAAGTTATTTCATTATTTTTCCTATATTGTGATAACCTGAATAGCCTCAGTCTCACTCTTGCCCCGTTTTCTGTCTTTGTGGCTTCTTCTTTGACAATCGTGCCATGTTTTTGTGGTTCAGTAAACATAAGGTGCACCCTGTGCCACAGTAGCAGTTTGAATCAGCTTGCTATAAAAACACTTACAATGTTAATGGCCCGGGAGAGACTTTAGAGTTGTTTTTTTTTCTGTCCTCTTGTTCTGCTGCCACTTCCTGTTGAGTGTTGACATGTTGGCTTAGGTGTGTCGTTACCTGGAATGGCAGACGAACAACGCTTTGGCTGCCGATCATTTCTTTTTTGGATTGCAGTCGCTTATTCAAATAAGTCAGCTGATGTGTGAGCTACTGTTCACTCAGCTAATCGTTCAGACGAAGAATAAAGTCGAGGGAGTCACGATAAAGTAACCCTCAGCCGCGCACGCTCTCCAGTTGATCCCATGACCCGCATCTCCCACCCACACTCACTTTTCACACACCTGAGCTGAGTAAACACGAGCGGCGGCTGAAGTGCAACTCTTCCTGTGGGAAGTAAAATATTATTGACAGTGACATATTACGTTGCATCACATGCGATCCGTATTTCTCACTAACTTTATCATTTGATATGATCTGATGTTGGGATGAATGAGGTGAGTTTTATTATTTGTTTCAGTGGTTTCCAGGGGAATGGGGCAAAAAAAAAAAGATGACCCAGAAGTCGTGCGCATTTTGGTAACGGGTTGATAACACTTCAGTGTGCGGGTGGTGGTATACTTGGTGAGCAGGGAATGACGATATACGATACAGGGAAAAAAAAAAGCTTGATTTGAATAGAGCTCCGTCTCAGTGGCTCTGTGAGTGTCCCTTGTAAGTGTGACGTGGCGAGGACGCCGGCCGCCAATGTCACGCTCGGCTGCTGCAAGTGGACGGATAAGCTGGCTTCTTGGCTCTTTTGTCTTTTATAGATGACATCATAGTGGAACACCCCTGCGCCCCCCCCAGCACCTCCTGCGTTGAGTTCCATGCGCTTGCTGTTTGCTTCTCTTCTTTCCTCTGGGTCGCAACCATGTCGACATTCTCAATCAAGTTAGAGTCAGTCCCGGAACGTGCAAGGCTCAGATTCTGAACGTGACTGACAGTCCAAATGTCGGGAAATGGTTTTGTTGTGAATGGAAAGTTGAATCGCAGACAAACGGGGTCGCAGCCTTGCAGATGTAACGGCCTGTCAAAAATGCCCTGTCGTGTCACCAAATCTTTGATTACAAAGTAGGGCTCAACCATTTTGAAAATTAATTTTCTTCCATTTTTTTTTTTTTTTTTTTTAAGATGAGATCACGTTATGGTAACAGTGAACTCAGTACATACAGTTTACTGCATTTAAGACATCCGCTTAGCTTAATGCTAACAAACAATAAAATACATCATTGGTTGGTTAACGAATAACATCTGTGTCGTTTCAAACATCACTGAACAGCCAGTTAGGGTTGTTTTTTTTTTTTTTTTTTTGTTTCTTCAATAGCCGAGTTACTATCCATTGTAACATTTTATTTTCTTCAAGAATCGATAAAAAAACATGCAGGAGTTTTAGAAAAAAAAAATCTGCCCTCTACTGCGTTAGTTTTCCACTTGGAGACTTGATTGAAACCATCAAAGTGGACGGTTTTCAGAAAGAATAGTACCAAGAGATTTTGGATTTTGTAATGTCACCACAATGATCAACCAAACAAAACCATGTCATTTTGTGTCACAAAAATCTGTCAACTCAATGCTAACATTGCTCCATAGGCATGCTAGCAGAAATTAGCTTGAATGTTAGAGTCGTTCTAAACCTTGAGACAACTGCTACTTTGAGGCACAGCCAAATGGAACGTCTGCTAGCTTAATGCTAACAAGCAAACAGATGTTGTAATAGATGTTATGGTTTATGTTATCACTCAATTCACTTTTTCCTGACATTGTTGTAAGGCGGGAATAAGGAATGTTCCATATTCTGGGCCCATTTCCAACGAGCTGGACTCTCGGGTGGGCAGCGAGACTTCAAACAATTCATTGACTCGGACGGGCAGCGCGCCGACTTTGATCCTCGAATGAATAAATAACTCTGATAAGCTGCACCTCAAGAATGAAGCGCTCTCATTTCATTTGTGCATGCTGGGTAAAACAAAATTTGAAACAAGTGCGTCACGACTTCCAGGGGCATTGAAATAGTTACTTCCTCACTCCGCTGACTCACCGCTGGAAAAAGTGAACTCTGTCAATGGAGGCGACCTTTTCAAATGCGTTGTCAAGTTTAGTTTCCAGAACTTATGATGCAAAAAAAAAAAAAAAAAATGCCGCAGCGTTTCCCTGCGCCGCTCGCCGCTCTTCATTTCGACTGAGCCGAGGTGTCTTCTGAATTTTCGGCCCTCGGCTGCATTTTCCAGCATACCTCGGGTCTGAAGGATCTCCCGGGACTTCCTTGACATGTTTGGAACAGCGCGGTGATCCACACGTGCTCATTTCATTGTGCCGCAGCAGCTCCGAGTCGTCTTTTCTGCCTCCTCGTTGCGTTTGACGTGCAGCCTGCTTTGCCGTGCGGGGTGGCAGGCTTCTTTGCTTCCATAAAAAGTCAGTTTTTGGCCGCGGTGTGTGTGTATATGTGTGAGAGACGTGGCCATGCCTCGTAAAAATTTCCATCACACAGTGGCTATTATGCAATCATATGACATTTGGAGACCCCGTCTAGCAAGTAAGCACAAATTGTCTTCATGGTGCAGTGATTAATCTGCTCCCGCTGTCTTGCACATTTTTCGTACTGTGGCAACCTCGCTGACAAGGTCTCTTTTCTCATCCTCGGACTAAAACACACAAAAAATGAGGTTATAGTTAACATCAAATACATTTCATCATTGTAATGGCACATCTATTTCTACCAATGTGTCACCATTCCATTAGCTTACCGCTCAATCCCTTGTTAAAAATTCCCTTGGAAAGTTTCCAATGTGGAATACTCACAAATTTCCCAAAAATTGAAGCGATGATGCCACGAGGCTAACGAAAACGCCTTCCCCCTTCGCAGGCGCACGTCAAAAGCCATGATCGAGGACAAGCGTCACCGCGTAACCGACTACTTCGTGGTGGCCGGCCTGACGGACAAGTCGGCGCCGCTGGAGCACGACCTTTCCGAGGCCAAGTCGAGCGGGCCCAAAGGCCCCATCACCGACCTGGCCATCATCAACCGCTCCGCGGGCGAGGCCGTGCCCGAGGGCTTCACCTGCATCGACAGCACCCACGGCGGCCAGCCGGCCAACCTCAACCACGGCAGCCTCAAGAGCCCCGAGCTCTTCCTGTGCTACAAGCGCAGTCGAGGAAAGCCGCCGCTCATTGACGTCGGGTACGCCTTACTTGTGTCCAAAACCCGTCCCCGCCAAATCCCCGACGATGCTCATGAGCCGTTTTCCCATCCGCTCAGCGTTCTGTACGAGGGCAAGGAGCGTCTGATCCAGGGCTGCGAGGTCATCCAGGCCACGCCCTACGGCCGCTGCGCCAACGTCAACAACAGCTCGGCCACCTCGCAGCGCATCTTCATCACCTTCCGCCGCGCTACGCCCGTCCAGCCCCAGAACTCCCTGGCAGTGACCGACATCTGCGTCATCGTCACCAGCAAGGGGGAGACGCCGCCGCACACCTTCTGCAAGGTGGACAAGAACCTCAACTGCGGCATGGTGGGTCACCGCTTTTGGGAATTTGAACCTTTGCTGCCCTTAGTTTCCGAAAAGGCGTTTGTGACTGTCGGCGAAATGAATGAGGCAATTTGGATTTGAAATAATGCAAGTGGAGATGATCGCGGTGAAGATTGAGATGAGCTGACGAGTGGAGTAAAATTGACATTTTTGTCTCTCAGTGGGGCTCCAGCGTCTTTCTTTGCTACAAGAAATCTGTATCGGCGTCCAATTCCATCACTTACAAAGCGGGTGAGTCCAAACCGCAAAGCCTCGTCAAATGTTCCCCTCCCGCTTTGCCGTCGCATGAGCGCAACGCTTTGTCTTTCTCTCCAGGTCTGATCTTTCGCTACCCGGAGGAGGACTACGAGTCTTTCCCCCTGTCGGAGTCGGTTCCTCTCTTCTGCTTGCCCATGGGCGCCAAGATCGAATGCTGGGCGCCAAACACCCGAGACCCTCTGCCCGTCTTCTCCACCTTTGTGTTGACTATCGGCTCGGGTGAAAAAGTGAGAGACCTTGATTTCTACTTTTTTTCCCCACATTTATTTATTTCGATATGATTTCTCACCAACGTGAAGACACTCCTGACAAATGACACTTTGCTGAACCTAATCTGGGTTCAGGCTACGCTGGAATTAAAAAGAAGAAGAAAATAAAATTGTCACCCACACTACATTCGTGTGCAGCTGTTGTAAATTGACTTGAAAGTAACTCGGGAAAGAAGCTGCGTCAAAATAGCCGGTAACAAAAGTGAGAAAAGTGAAATTTTTCAAATGGCACCGCTCTCAACACATTTTTACCAAATTTCTCCATCACAGAGGCAAGTAAACTTTGCGAGATGATTATTCTTTTAGCACCAATTCAGAATTTTCCCTTAATTTTGAGCATGTTGACTTTTCATTGTAATATTATGAATACAGAAATTCTAAGATGTAATATAGTAATACATTCAGTAATATTTATGCATTGAGGGTTAGGTTGAGCACCAGGTGGAATCTTTTTTTTTTCCCCCCGAAGGTTAAGGCTCTCCTTTCTCAAGAGCACTTTGAAACAGTCATTCATGCCTTTGTCACATCTCGCCTGGATTAGTGTAATCCGCTTGATTTTGGAATCAGCCGATCCTCCATCAAGCGTCTCCAGTTGGTCCAGAATGCTGCTGCTCACCTCTTGACTGGCACTCATATAAAGAGGGAGCTTGTAACGCCTGCTCTGGCATCCCGTCACCGGCTTCCTATACACTTCTTTTGAAGATCGCATTATTTGTTTTCAAATCTTGAAATGGCCTCGCCCAACCTTACCTCTCGGAGCTCCTCCGTCCCGATGCAGCCTCAGGTCTGCGGACCTTCGTTAGGGACACATGAATCAATTTTTGATGAAAATTTGTTGTTTTTCTTCCCTGACGACCGTTTGTTGAATGTTTTGCGTCGCACTCAGGTGTACGGTTCAGCCATCCAGTTCTACGAGCCGTACCCGGTGGACCTGCTGAGTGAGAAGCAGAAGATCCACCTGGGCCTGCTGACCACCGTCGAAAAGAAGATGGTCCCCAACCGTCCGCTGAACGCCAACAAATGCATCTGCCTCCTGTCCCGCTGGCCTTTCTTTGAATCCTTCCGCAAATTCCTGATGTTCCTCTACAAGCTGTCCGTCTCGGGCCCGCACCCGCTGCCCATTGAAAAGTGAAGCCTTTTTCATTAAAAAAAAAAAAAAAACGTAAACACACTTTCAGGATGGATTCAGTGTCATATTTCTCTCCACAGGCATATTTCACACTTCATGCACAACGTGTCCTTCCCGTCGCCACAAAGGCCTCGAATCCTGGTCCAAGTGAGCTCTTCTTTATCCCCGCATCGATCCACCTTTCCACGCAGCGTACCCGCGTTTGACTGATCGCCGTTATTTTTTGTCTTGAAGCTCTCTGCGCATGACACCTTGATCCTCTCCCAGCCCGTTTCTACACCTCTACCCCTCAGGTAACTCTGCTACCTTTCTTGAGAGTAAAGAAACCCTGCTATTTTCCTGAAACAAAAAAAAAAAAAAGTCATGGTTCCGGACCACGGATGGGATCACAATCATTGAGCTACATTCTCCAAACCTTTAAAAATATTCAAACGAGTCAAAGCCTTAAATCAGCGGTCCCCAACCTTTTTAGCCCCACTCACCGGTTTCATGACAGACAATATTTTCAGGAACCGGCCTTTCAGGTGTGACGGATAAATACAGCAAAATATTATGATATGACCTGCATGAAAACTGTTCTTATTTTCGAATCGTAATAATAAACACAAATCATGACACGAGCAACGTCCTATCTGGCCGCACCACACTCTGCTCACTATGGTGACGTGTAAACGTGCCTTCAAAATAAGATAAAGCGCGAATACAAAGTGCCTGAAAAATACGAGTCACCGTCGCAGCATATTATGCAGAGTGGGCCCGGTGCGTGCGAATCTCCCATTGAGATAAAGCCGTATGTTAAGAAAGACTCCTGATACTCTCTATTAAATGTAGCCTTCTTTTTCTTGAAAGTCTCCGGGCTGGGGATTTTCCTCTTCCCAAAGAAACTTTGCAAATAAGTTAATCTTTTTAACTCATTTTGCCAGCTCCTGGGTTTCATTTTAGCAGTATCCTATTACGTGATCGAGAAGTGCACTTTGACCTGCGTCAAGAGTGACATACTGTACTCAGAGAATCTGGTCATTTTTCAAAATAAAACATCTTTCAGGTTCCGAAATGAATGAAACAGAAATAATGTAAGTTGTTGATTCTTTCTGTGCGTCCCGGTATCAAATGATCCACGGACTTAAATGACGGCTGGTCAGCCAGTTGTACGGGTTGATCGAATGCCGCTTCGGCGGTTCCCCGTCGCTCACCTGTGTGCTCTTCCTCCCCGCCAGCGGTGCGGACTACGGCACCCTCTTGATGAATCTGGGCTCTGAAAACTGTGCCACTTTGCTGCACTTTGTCCTGCTGGAGAGCAAGATTCTGCTGCACTCGCTCAGGCCGGCGGTGCTCACCGGAGTGGCGGAAGCTGTGGTGGCGGTGAGTTACGTAGCGTTTGCACGGCTAAAGAGGCTAACGAAAGTTGGGGTGGGGGTTGTTAGACAAAAACCGAGACCTTGAAAATGTGAAACCTCGTCGCCGATCATCACTACCTTGGTATTTTTCCACCATTTTGCATTTTAAAGCTGGGTGTGAACCGTGTGGGCGGGGACAAATAAAATAAAAACTATAAATAAGAATAATTTGCAGAACGGACCAAATCTCGAGTGAGCCGATGGCGCTTCTCTCCCCAGATGATCTTCCCCTTCCAGTGGCAGTGTCCCTACATCCCCCTGTGCCCGCTGTCCCTCGCGGGGGTCCTCAACGCCCCGTGTCCTTTTATCGTGGGCGTGGACTCCCGCTACTTTGACCTTTACGACCCGCCGCCAGACGTCGTCTGCGTAGACCTGGACACCAACACCATCTACTTGTACGTTGCCGCGTGTATTTTGACTCTCTCCTTCTCCGACAAGCACACACACACACACACCGTCCATAAATCTGTTCCCGGTGACTCGCAGGTCGGACGAGAAGAAGCACAACAACTGGAAGAACCTCCCGAAGAAGCCGTGCAAGAGCTTGGTCAACTCCCTGAGCAACTTGCACCGCCAGATGGCCACAGGTACACATAGACGACACGGAGCCCAAAGCAAACCCCCCCCTTGACTGTCTTCGCCTCGCCTGTCTCAGTTTCAGTCCGTCAAACGGCGCAGACGGACTCGGCGGTGGACATGACGCCCATCGAGGCCGACTTCACTTGGCAGAAAAAGAAGACGGGCGTGGAGATGGAGATCCAGGAGGCCTTCCTGCGCTTCATGGCCTCCATTCTGAAGGGCTACCGCTCCTACCTGAAGCCCATCACGCAGGCGCCGTCCGAGAAGGCCACGGCCGCCGACTCCCTCTACGATCTGCAAGGTGAAGCGGGCGCCGCGTCGCGGGAACCACCGCCGTTATCAAATGGCGAACGTTAGCTTGAAAATGAGATTGGTGGAGAAATTGCGTGCGAACGCCGGAATCTGGAATGGAATTTTTTTTTTTTTTTTAATGGAAACCTGTGCAATGGTTTTGAATGCGATCGAAAAATGTTGGGGAAAATGCGGAATGAAATTGAAATGATGTCGAATGCTAATTGAAGGATATGAAAAATGAAGGAACGGCATTCTGGCACGATGTGACTGAAAATGTGGAATTTTTCCGACATAATTTTTCACATGTTGAAAATGGCTAAATAAATTAGAAGAATTAATAACTCATGACATGAGATGGACCTCAAGAAATTTGAACGACAATGAGGGAAACTGTTACGCTGAATGTGCCATCGGAAATTAATCCTTGCATTTTTTTTGAGCTGAAAATGTGGCCAAAATTTTTTTTTTGTTCTTTTTAGTCAAGAAAATAATGTCCCACGTGACAACAAATTTGGGTTCTTTTGATTTCTTTAATCAAACAAAGCCAATTCATGGCTAAAATAGCGACGTGACTCGCCGTCTGCTTCCACCTTCCTGATGGATGACAGATTTCATTGCTCCCTGCAGGTTTTCTCAAAAGCAGAGACCGCGCTCACCACAAGTTCTACTCGCAGCTCACCAAGACGCAAATATTCATCCGCTTCATCGAGGAGTGCACTTTTGTCAGCGACAAAGACACCGGGTTGGCATTTTTCGACGACTGCGTTGAGAAGGTGACTGCGAGACCTCAATCGGTCTACTCCTCTCGCCGCCCCCCTTCCCTCCCTTTTTCTGACCCGACCTTCCACACGAAAACTTTTAACTCCGATTTTTAGTTTTTTCATCACTGTTGTGCTGCTGGGAGTCTGAAGGAAGTTTTCTCTGATCCATCCTGTTGCCTTTACTGTCTTTCTACCTCTTGCAGCTCTTTCCTTCGTATAAAATCACCGACAAGGGCACCAAGGTAATTGCCTCTTCTGGAATCAAATCTTTTTTTTTTTCTCTCTCTTTACTTAATAAATAAAATAAACATTTGGATTAACATTCCTGCTTCTCTTGCCCTAATTCCCATCCAAAATAAATTATATATATATATATATATATTTTTTTTATATATATATATTTTTTTTTCAAAAAGCTGGCAGTTTGTATTGATGCTCACGCTCATCTTTGGATCTTCCCTGCAGGTGGAGGGGGACTTGTCGGAGGACACCAGATTGTTAGAGCTGGACGAATCGCAGAAGAGCGAGCACACCGTCTTCGTGATGCCTCCCGAGCCGCCGGCCGAGGACGGCCGTGAGCCACACCCGAAATATACGTGAGCCATCGTTCAAACGCCGAGAAGCCGAAAGGCTCAAATTTGCTCCTTTGGCATCCGCGGCTTTGTCGGGGGAAACAAAAAAAAAAATTTTTTTTTTAAATGCCGCGGGCTCCTCATGGTTTTGTTCATCGTCTACTCGGCAAAAATGAAAGCAATGCTCCAAACGTTAGTCCAGGATAACAAAAGTAGAGAATGAATAAAGTGAACCGTTTCTGAATTTGTGAATTTTATTGTGAAACCTTTGGGGAATGTGATCATTCCCACTACTTTTTCATTTCACTCATTTATTTCATTCAGTGAGAAAAGAAAAAAAATCCAACATAATATCAATAAAAAAAAATTGTTCTTCAATCCAGAATAAATCAGAACAGAAAGAATCTTACATCCCGAATATTTGATTTTATCAATTTTTTTTAAGCAAGCTTACAGAATTGTCGCTAACCTGTTTTCACTTCTTGTCCAAACACATCCTGACTTCAATTAATCAAAATGATGAAATTGATCACATTTGGACACCCAAAAGTTTTGCGTGTCAAGGCACTTAAGCAATAATCATAACAACCATGTAAATACCCGCGTCTTACAATAGCAATCACCCGCGATCCAAACGCGCGTGCGCTTCAATTGCATTTGCAACCCTGCGGCCTCTTTTTCACCCCTCCCAGTTACAAAAGTTTCCCATGGCTGAAGATGGAGCTCTTTGACCGTCCCCGGGAGCTTCGACCCGCAATCAGCAGCAGAGCGGCGGGCGCCAGTCTTTCCAGTAGCCCCGCGCTGCTGGCGAAGCGCACCAAGCAGGTGTCGTCAACGCTCCCGTTCGCACTCGCGCTCCTCGGCCTCCTCTCCCAACTAACGCCGTGTCGCTGGAACCCCACCAGGAGATCAAGCTGGCGTACAAAATGGCCAAGCGCTTCTACTGCGACCCTCAGCTGTGGGCCCGCTGCCTGTTCAGTCACTGCTACAGCCTGTGGTTCATCTGCCTGCCGGCCGCCGTGCGCCTGGCCAAATCCAAAAGCCGCGCCATGCAGCGGGCGTACAACGTCCTCTTGAAAATGAGGACCACTGAGGTGGAGGTCTTGGATGAGGTTCGCGTCCTTTAAGTCGGCAGTTCTCCAACGTGGGGTCAGCGTGCCGCAGCCAAAATCTCTTTTTCCCCCTCTCAGGTGTGTTACAGGGTGGTGATGCAGCTCTGCGGCGTTTGGGGTCTACCCGTGATGGCCGTGCGAGTGCTGGTGGAGATGAAGAAAGCCGGCGTTCACCCCAACGCCATCACATACGGATATTACAACAAGGTCCCCCCCCCCGCGAGACATCCGCCGCTCGGTCAAGTGGCGCAGACGCCGCGACGACACTCGGACGCCTGAGCGTGTGTGCGCTTCCTCCGCAGGCCGCCCTGGAGAGCCCGTGGCCCAGCCGCACCCGCAGCGGCCTCTTTATGTGGACCAAGCTTCGCAACGTGCTGCGCGGGGTCGCCCAGTTCAAGCACGCGCTGAACCAGTCGTCCTCCAGAAAGAAACCCACCGTGTCAAAAACAGGTAGGCCCTCTCATAACTCCCCCGCGAAAGGTCCCCGGCGCCGGATACGCCAAGTTGAGCGCTTATCGTTGCTTCTGGCGTCTAGAAGGCGTGTCATCGGACCGCTTGAGTCACTGCAGCGCCGACAGTTCGGGGGACGTCAACATGGAGGAACACCTCCAGCATGCGGGAGACGCCGGACACAAGCAAGGTGACGGTCATGCACCTAAGCGGGATGTACTTCAAGTTAGGAGTCCTCCGTCACAAGCGTCTGCTTCCCCCCATCCCCCGCAGGTAGCCAGTCCGATCAGGGCTACGGCTCCAAGGATGAGCTGCATCAGGACATTGCCGACCACTCGCACTCGTCTGACCTGCCCACTGAGGGGAGGAAAGCCAGAACGCAAGGTACCTTGTGCTCAAAGAATGTGATTTTTAAAAAAAAAAAAAAAAAATTACATTCAACTCAAAGAAGTCAGTCAAAACTGCTGCGTTGTACACATGAGCTTTCACATCAAAAATATGAGAAAAAAATAAATAAAAAAGAACACAATGGGTTGCCACGAGCCAACGTGACATCATTTCTCATGGCTCACTCTCACATTTCTGATGAAAAAGAACCTTCCATCACTCTGAAACAAAAACAAAAATGGAGTTTGCGCTGTGTTCTGTTGGCGAACCAAATAATGAAATGGTGACAACTGCAATTGAAAACACTTTGACGTTCATAAAATGGAATAAAAACAAAAATGAAAAGTAGCCGAAAAAGCAGTTGTTTGTCGTTTACTTTCTGACCCAACGCTTGGTGATTTTTAAAAAAAAATCTTGCACATTGACAAATACTGCGTATTAAAAAAAAACAAAAAACTAAAATGAAAGCATTTTCGAAAAAATAAAAGCGAACAAACTTGCTCTGAAAACAAAACGAACTGAATTTTAAAAAACAAGAATAATTCATAACAAAATTAAAACAGGGTGGAAGAAAAAATCCCAAATAATCATAACCCCGGTTGTGCCGGATTTGCATTTAACTGGTGTATACTTCCAAACCAGGAAGTGACATTGCCGGATCCGTGGACGGCGCCGTTGCCGTGGCGGCGCCTCGCCGCCCCGTCGACGCGCACACGTCTGTCCCCAGTATTGTGAAATTGGACACCGGGAGCTTCGACAACGGCAATGAATCAGGTGAGAGGGAAGGCGAGGCCTCGAGGTTGCACCGAGGGATGCTCATCACTCTTTCTGGAATCTCCCGCAGTGAAAGGAAAGCTGTTCCGACGACACAGCAAGCCGGGCGACGTGTCTCTTCCTGAGGACGACCAGTCTCGGAAGCATCGGAAGAAAGCCTTCGCCGAGCGCAGCAGAAGTTTCAGCGCCGAAACGCGGGCCGGGATGCTCTCGGAAAAAGGCGTGGACCACATGGCCGGCCAGCTCGGCGCCGACGCCCGCATCCTGGCCGCCGCGCTTTCCACCGGACAGACGGCAAACAGCCCCGGCGGCGCGCCCAAAGCGCTCTTCAAAGACTTGGAGGAGGAGCCCGAAGATTTTGAGGGGCTGATTATGGGGACGCTAACGGCGGAGGAAGAGAAAGATGTGGCTCGGCGTGAGGGAACCACGGAGAAGCCTGCAAGTAAACGCAGCGAAGCAAACGAGGAGGAGTCGGCGGTGCGCGCCGCGACCCTGGAAAGGGCGGATGTGGAGGTGGGCGCCGACCCGCTTTCCCTCCTGGCGTCGGAGAGCCAAGAGTCAACCTCGGTAAAGAGCCAGGAGCCCCCTCGCCCCGCGCCCCCCGCCGTCTCCCGCAACCTGGCGGAGGAAATCGAAATGTACATGAGCCTGCGAAGCCCCCTGGGCGGCAAGTCCACCAGCATGGAGCTCAAGCAGGCGCACGGAGACGCCGGCGTCGGCCCGCCGTCCAAACCGTCCCTAGAGCGGAGGTCCAGCCTACCCGCGCCGCCGCCGCAAACGCCGACGTGCTCGCCGGCCGACAGCCCCAAGCGCAGTCCCGCCGCCGTCACTCGCTCCAAAACGTTTGCGGCCAAGACCAAGCCGACCGTCGGCCGGAGCGCCGGCCCGGCCGTCAGATCGTCGTCCCTGTCGCCGCTCGTCAAGTCCTCCCAGGGAGGCTCGCTGGGCTCGGTCATCAACTCCATTTCCGCCATCAAGATGGACAACTTGCTGTCGGGCCCCAAAATTGACGTGCTCAAATCCGGAATGAAGCAGGCGGCCAACGTGGCCAGCAAAATGTGGGTGGCTGTCGCCACCGCTTACTCGTACTCGGACGACGAGGTGAGTGTCTTACCCGAAATAGACCTAGCTATGGTTTTTTTTTGTTTGTTTGGGTTTTTTCTCCACTGGCGACACCGATTATGAGCAGCCGAGGAGGTGAATAATCGATATTTGGAGCCAATATTTGTAAAAAGGAACATATTGGGTACCAAAAATCCAACCTTTTCTTCACTTTTCTGGAAATGTTGATTGAACACAGTAACGCCGTGATTGGCTGTTGCATGTCAGACTGGCTGTCAATCAAACAAAAATGACATCACTGTTTCTTCATATTTTTAACGTCTGACTGATAAGAAACTTAACATGAGTATTTCACAACACAAAAATAGTTACTATGATAAAATAAACTGAAAATAATTAAAAACACTTTCCTCTTAAAAATGCTCGCCATCGTCGTGGTGGGCGAGTACCGAGAGACGTACAACTCAGCCGGCTTTCTTAATCCTAGCAGAAATGGGTGTCTGTAGGCACTTTATGTTCTCCGACTGTACACTAGGTGGCAGTGGTGCTATATAAATACTGTTGAGATGAAATCGCCTTTTAAGAAAATACAGTGTTTGGTTACACAGATATTTTGCCTCCCGACACAACAGACTTAACCTGGTTAGGGACGATTAGAGGGACGGACAAAAACTCACTTCCGTCCTTGCTTCCTCCGTCCTTTTTTAAAAACTTCTCATCCTCCGACCCAAAAATGGGCATTCCGGAATGCCCATGTCTGGTATTTGGTTTAATTACTTCACAATTGACCTTTAATGCAATTTTTTTGGGCCACAAACACCTCGACCAGGACACAGTTTTCAAAGGAACCCTTTATAATCCCCCTTGATCGAATCTCATCTCTCTCTTTTTTTTTTTTTTTTTCTCCTGCAGGAAGAACAAGGTCCAAGCGGCGGAGGCTTCCCCGCCAGCCTGGATGAACACATGTTGACCGGGCACGACGTGGAGGGCAGCCCGGAGAGAGGCGGCGCCGTCCCGGCTTTGGCGGCCAACGGTCTCAACCAGAGCTGCACCAGCATCGGCAGCAGCAGCGGCAGCAGCGACACGGGCCGAGGGACGCAGCACACACGTAGGCGCCGACTCCGACGCTGCCAAAGAGCCGTTTACGCCTCGAAAGACGTTTGAGCAACTTCCCCAGACAAGGGGATTTTTTTTTTTGGTCCGCTTTTGTCAACTTCTGCTTTCAAAATATATTGTTTATAAATTGTATCGTGGCCGTTATTGGCCAATTGAAACCCGTGAATACTTATGTTTCTTTATTTTCTTATTGACTGGCTTTCGCTAATCGGTCAAGGGGAAATGAATTTCATTTTACTGTCATCATTGAAAACGTTTTTTTTTTTGTTGCTTTCTGCCAGATGTTACGTCATATTTTTAGTTTCCAAAAGAAGCCTTAAATGGCTTTCTGATCAACAGCGGAGCGAATGAATGACACAGTTTTGGTTTTCAGGGGTGACACTCAAAAATCCGATCAGATACAGCACGTATCTCGCTGCATGGGCTCCGATAGGATTCGAGGACTGTACATTTCAAATCTGAAATTGTCAAAAACACATTTCTCATCCAAATCAGTTTGGGTTACACAACAAACATCCACGTTTGGACCGTGCACCTGACTCAGAGCTGAAGGCGTGATCAATCCAAACCAGGTCTTGTTAAGAAGTTGCATTTTTTTTCCCGCAGATGCAACCCCAGGGCGAGCGGGCAGGGCTCCCGACTCGGAGCAAGGCTCTTTGCACCACGCCTCCTCCTCCAGCATCTTCCAGAACTACGCTCTGGAGGTCCAAAAGAGAAAACGGAACCGCTTCGCGTGTCTCCGGCGCGCTCCTTATCCATTCGATCTCCCTCGCAGGTGCTGATGTCCAGCTGCTCGCAGTGTCGCTCTTGCGAAGCGCTGGTGTACGACGAAGAGATCATGGCGGGATGGACGGCCAACGACTCCAACCTCAACACAAATTGTCCTTTCTGTCGCGCCGCCTTCCTTCCCCTGCTGCACATCGAGTTTCATGACTTGCGCACGACGACCGGGTAGGAATGCGTCTCGCGCATCCCGGATGGAAATGCTTTTTTTTTTTTACCTTTCGCCGCCGGTTATCGTTTGACGTTCTCCCCGCAAGGTTCTACATGAATCCCAGCGCTTCTGGAGACAGCATTCACAGTTCCAGCGGTGGCCAACCAACAGCTGCGAGTGACATGAAGACGCAAGACCGCATCGATTTCCCTCCGGGGGAACCTACGGAAACTCTCGCTCACAGTCCTGGAACACATAAAAGGTCAACGGATAAATTCACATCAATATATATTTTTTTCCACTGACTTCCTTTTTATTGACCACAACTCAACAATGGCAACCCTCTCCTGTGGGTGTTTTGCAGTCTGGTTCCAGAGCCGGCGCAATCCGACCCGCTGGGTCTACTGGAGCACCAGGCGTCAGCGAAAAGATGCAGCGGTGGCACGTCGCTGACGCGCAGCAACAGCGTTGGCGGCCCGCTACAGAGCCTGGATTCCCCTCTGCGACCCGGTCACGGCGTCTCCACCACCAGCCTCCCCGGCAGTCTGCACGAGGTGTCGGTCGGTAGAAAAAAAATGTCCCCGAAACCAATCCCGACATGTCACGTAGTCTCGGCTACTCAAGTGAACTGTGACTGACCAACAGGATGGAATGGCGACCAAAAAGCCAAACCCCAAGCCCGTGTCCGTGCCGTACCTAAGCCCTTTGGTGCTGCGCAAGGAACTGGAGACGCTTTTGGAGAATGAGGGAGACCAGGTAAGACCGGGTTTCCCAACAGTCACCCCCGACGCAGATGTATTTCCTCCATGACTTTGCATCATCTTTCCCGATTGAAATGAATGCAAATGCCATGAAAAAATTTAAGGATTTTATCCACATTTAAAAATCATTTTAACTTTTTTTTAATTTTTTTAAAAAAATTTTAAATTTAAAAATTTTAATTAAAAATTTTAAAATCTTTAAAACCCGCCTCAAAACGCACTTGTATTCTTTGGCATTTGACTCAGCATGACTCAGATCTGATCTTAGTTTTACTGTTTGGTGCCTTCTACCATCTTTGTTACTGATTTATAGCTTTATTGTTGTATATATGTTAGTTGCTCCATGTACAGCACTTTGTATGCGGCGATGGCTGTTTGAAAGTGCTCTAGAAATACAGTTGAGTTGAGTAAAAACTCATTCGTTGTAAACCAATGGACCTTTTGACTTCTATAGCTGTCAATGGCAGTGAACTCAGTTGAGTTTTAATTAGGAGAGTAACAACCTCGGTTCTTGTACTTTATAAAATTGTACCATCGTGACATCATTAAACAAAACATCAAGAGTAAATCATGCTTCAGTTGAATTCATTGTGCTGCTCCGTTTGGTGCGCCCGAAAAAAAAAATTATTATTTTAATTGATACTGCATTGAAATCACAGTGGATAAACACGATTATTTATGGATTTCAAAGCTTAGTACTGATCTAGCTACCAAGTGTGATCAAATTGTATTGAGTCATAAACGAGAAATAAAAATGTTTATTGTCCGCACCTTGGCCAATTAGGGGCACATTTGGAGAGTCACTTACATAATAAGATAAAAAGAAGAGAAGAAGAAAGTGTCAAACTTTATTAATATAACGTGTTTTTCACGGATTAGGAAGAATATTTACCCGTGAGTATTCTTATTCTTATCTTTGAAGGTAAATCCCTCCAGTGATGTCTAATGCTAATTTTTGCTAGCTGGTCAATAGGGTTTTCCATTGGGCGCTAGCAATGTGCTAGCCCAACAGGCTGGCAATGTACCAAAAATGAACAATTTCTTCTCTTTCAATCTGGAACGTGTGTCAATCTTGTAGTTTTGTAGTCATCTCCAACTGGGATGTCATGAAGCAGCTTGAAGCACACTCGGGACAGGCGGAAGAACAGACTAAATCCCAAACAAATATCAATGAATTTCCCAGGCGTGCTGTATTTGACATTCTCTCTGAAAAGTGTTCCGCTTTGCTGCTGTGTCCCAACAGGTGATTTACACGCACAAGTTCCTCAGTCAGCATCCCATTATCTTCTGGAACCTGGTGTGGTATTTCCGACGCTTGGACTTGCCCAGCCACCTGCCCGGCCTCATCCTGACCTCCGAACACTGCAACAACGGCGTGCAGGTCGGACGCCGTCTCGGTCTGCTGCCGCTTTTGTCTTTTGTTCCGCGAGGCGTTCAAGTGTGTTTTGTTCTGTGCAGCTGCCCCTGACGTCGCTGTCCCAGGACAGTAAGCAAGTGTACATCCAGATCCTGTGGGACAACATCAACCTCCACCAAGAGGCCGGAGAGCCCCTTTACCAGCTGTGGAGGACCTTATGTGGGTCAAAGTGGAAAGGAGGAGTAGATTACGTCATTTAAGACAGATGATGTGCCGGTAGAAGGAGAAAGTTTGGTTTGTTGAAGCAGATAAACAAAAAAAAACAAAAACATGTCTTAAAACGTGTGTGTGTGTGTGTGCGCGCGCGCGCGCGCGTGCGTGTGTGTGTGTTCTTACCACATAATACTGAATGTGATGGGTTTTTTTTTTTTTTTTTTTTTTTTTTTTGCGAGAATTACCCAAAAAATGAATGCTAAAAATTAACCAACCGGTTCCGAATCAAATTTCGACTCTCAAAAAGAAAAAACCCAAAACAAAACTGAACAAATGATTACAACCCTGATTTTGCCTGCTTACGTTTGGATCTCTTTAGTGGAAAAGAAGGGCACATTGGCGCCGACGGATCACCAGGAGATCCGCACGCTCCTCAACACCATCGTCCGCAACATCCAGACCAACGACGTCTACGGCCCAATCAACCTGCTGATCCGAGAGCTCAAACACCGTCCAGAGGACATCAAGCGGCAGAGGTACCCCCGTCTTCTGCCTTGGAGCATTTCGGTGACTTGTGGCCTCATGTCTCCCATCCCTTTCCAGGAGCATTTACAGAGAAATATTATTCCTCTCCCTTGTGGCGCTGGGACGAGAGAACATCGACGTCGGTGAGCGAATGCGTCGTGGTGCCCTCTTCTTTTTTTATTTGATTTTATTTTTGTCTCGACGTAATTCTCAATGGATCTTGTGCTTTCCCGACAGAGGCTTTTGACCGGGAGTACCAGCTGGCCTATGATGAGCTTAGCGCAGAGCAGCTCAAGTCTCTGCACCACATCGATCGGCCGCCCAGCGCCAGCGTCCAGTGCTGCCTCAAATCTTTCGGCACCCTCTTCATCTAATCACTTCGGACAAATGGGTGTCTATGGAAAGCCGTTTAGACCGTTTCTTCTGCATCCTTGATATCCAGCGATATTGGGTGACATTTCTGCACACGAGTTGCACAATTGTGTCACCGGTATTTTTGCCTTGTAGTTGTCCTACTAGTGAAGACAAAGAGCGTAATTAGTAGATGGACCTCAAGCTGGATCTCGAAGATATGGAATCAACGCTCAATCGACTTTCCATAGGTGTCAATTAGTAAACTGGAAACGCCTCAACGGTACTTTGCTGAGGTTGCAATACCGAGCAGTGCCTATGAGCGGCACTGTTTCTCTGATGACAGATTATTTACTGGGCAGAACATGGCCATTTGTATGTGTTGGCGAGATAGACTTTGACTGTCCTTAGTGCACTTTCTTAAAAAAATAATAATAATAATGAAATAAAAAAAGCAATAGCTCAAGTTTAGCCGGAGCCCCAGACATGACATGGGAGCAAAAGATTAAATGGTGGCCACAATATGGTTAAATATGTATATGTATAAATGTAGGCACACAAAAATTGGTGTTATGCACGTGATGCCACAAATTAGTATTTTGTGCTCCTGAGTCAGCATTTTTTGCGAATATTATCGCCATTTTCTGCCTCCCATTTCACATCTGGGGCTCTGCAAATTCACCTGTTTTGTGTGTGTGTGTGTGTGTGTGCGTGCGTGCGTGCGCGTGCGTGTGTGTGTGTGCGCGCACGCGCGCCTTTTCCAGTATGTTTCACTCACGTCTTAATGAATTCCCAAGCCCAAATCAACTCGGGGGAAAAGGGCAAATTAAAAGTCATCAGCGTTTTTCCAGTAACACACTGTGGGGATGTTGGGCTGGATGCTAATCCCAGCCCGGATTTGAGGCGTGGTCTTTATTACGATTGCCACACTGGAGCGGTGTTGTGGCAACATTGGTCAAGTGTCTCGTGGGGGCGGGGCCTTTTTACTACTGCTGATTTATGAATTTGAAAACATTCCACGCCAAAGTGCTGCGATGGAGAGGGAGCGCGGACATAACGGAACACATTCCATTTCCAAACTGATCGAGCCGCAGTGAAGATGAAATGATGTCACCTCGGAGTCTTAACTCGTTTGTCCTCTAAAACAAACAAGAGTTTCTCTATTTATTTTTGTATTATTGACATCTGAATTGCAGTCATTCTAGTAACTTTTTTAATGACTAATACCGTTTTAATGTTGAACGAGAGATTGAAAACTGAACTGATTTGTCAATAGTGATCTCTCACCGTCCTGTGGTAAGGAATTGAATGTCTACATAGAAATATGCTGCAATAAACAAGTATGTGACAGACTGAAAACAAATGTGGTTTTATTGTGACCGTGAAATTGGATTTATTTCTCTTCCTATCAGGAAGTGAATGTGGATGATATTGTTGTCCAATCATATTACAGCCTCTGTGTTGCCCAGAGAGCGATTCGGACCGTTTCTTCAGCCATTCGGAAGTGAGTGATTGTTTGGTCAGAGCAAAAGTTGCCATAGCCAAGTTGGACTCAGCGTCTCTCGATGAGTAATTTGTAGTTTGTACTTGTTACAAATGTTGTCATTGTTTTGTATATTTTTTGTACAGTTTCGATCCGTTTCGTTCTCGTGTGTCTATGTGTGGTTTGCAGGGTGGACGGGGAGTTGGATGGAACAAAGAGTCAGGAAACAAACGTCATATCCTCCATTTTGGGGTCAGTATGGTGATAATGCACAAAATAAAGTTTTCGCATTTCCACCAACAGCAAAATGACGACTCCGATTGATAAAATTAAACAATAAAAACATCACGATTAGTCCTCCTCACCGACTGCTTTTAATATTTCACTTTCATGGCACACATTCGTCTTTGGGCCGCTGGGCGGCGCCGCAGACCGTTTTGGCTCCATGTCGCTTTGAAGAAAGTTTGACCAAATCAACAGCGACAATTAAGTCACACAACGTGCAATATTTCACGTTTTCTGTCGCTTAACCACACTCGGATGGCGTATCGGTACATGAATATAAGACATCACATCAGTTTGTAAAGGCGGAGGGTGGCTGTTGGCGGGAACAGTGGATGCGCATGCATATATTTGGCGTAATGAGGGCACCACCCTGTGTGTGTGTGTGTGTGTGTGTGTGTGTGTGTGTGTGTGTGTGTGTGTGTGAGAGATCATTAAAGAAGCAGTGTTTGTGCGGGTGCACATCTTTTCCTTTGCCCGTACTTAATGACGCTGCTGCTGAGTCAGCGAGCCTGAAGAGTGAAGAGGATGAAAGTTGAAGGGTGATGGAGAGAAAGAGAGAGACCAGGTTGCTCGTGTGTTAAAAGCCGAGAGACAGGAAACGAAATCCATCAATCCAAAGTCCTCTTAAGTCCGCTTAGCTAGATGCTAACAAACAATGCCTAATGCCGTAGATGGGCTCATAAATAGCGTCAGTGTCACGGTCTCAGAGCACTTTAAACGATGAATATTAGAATGCAGTGGAATAACACATGTCAACGTCAATACATACTGGCATATATTCCTTATCCTCTGTGAAAAACAACGAATATTAGTGCAGCTTACTGAGGCGTTGCGACCGTCTTTGTCAATACCCGAAAGATTTATATAACGGCTATTTGAGCACAAACTTCAACAACAGGCACATGCTCTTTATCCTCTGAGAAGAACAGCAAATGTTGCTGCAGTTCGCTGAGTCATTTAGTTGTGAAACACTTCCTTTGCGTTTCAACAGTATGTATGTGTTTACTGCCCCTCCGGTGGCCTACGTCCACACACTAGAAAGCACAATGTAGGACTGCACCCGAAAAATGGCATTTCCATTCATTTCAATCGGAACCGAATATTTGAACTTTGAAGCCAATTTTACCAAAGAAGTAGAAAGCACAGATCCCTGTTAAAATGCTGAAAACCTGACAAATCCTCTCGAAAATCAAAGATACCTAAAAAAATGTCACTGTATTCTCTTCCAAAAAACGACCAGTATTACCGCAGCTTACTGAGGAGTTGTAACCGTCTCCATCAGTAGCTCAACGATGGTCACTGGTTTTCTCCCAGTTTTTCCCAGATTGTTGAATTGCTGTTTTGTGATGCGATTGGAGCACGCTGCAATTCCCACAACCAGCGTATTTGCATGTGTGTGTGTGTGTGTGTGTGTGTGTGTGTGTGTGTGTGTGTGTGTGTGTGTGTGTGTGTGTGTGTTCGCGCGCGTAAACAATAGAGTTGATTAGGCGTTGCGTGGCGGTGACAGCGCTGAGCGGAGATGATTAATGATGCTCTGTTTAATGTGATTAGTGCATTAATACCTCCTGTGATGGCTGAGACTGGCTAACACTGCAAAAGGTCAACGCGCACACGCAATAACACGCCCGCGCACACGTCTGTAACGCAATGTAATCCTCCGGCAGGTCAGACGACGACGTTCCCCGTTGGCGCGTCAGCGTCTTGTCGGATTTTACGTCACACGCAATTAACATACAATTCGACGTTTCGCCATGGCGTCACACGGATTTCTGCAATCCTCCCTCGCCGTCTTGTGGTTCACTTTCTGCTTTCTCGCTGTCACGTGGATTTTCAAAAAAAAAATGCACACGCCTAGAGCCGCCCACTTTCAAAATCACAGGTACTACAGTGTAAAATGTGAGGGTGGCCACCGTGAGTGGGTCAAAATAATCTCTGCACCTCACATGAATATCTTGCACAGGTATTATACAAAAGACTTTAAAATATAGAATAATAATAAATATATGGTTACTACTTTGTCGATTTGCATCCAAATCGCAATAACTGATTTCTATGCAAGAAAATGCTTGAAGCAAGTGAAATCTAATCTCTGTTTGATATTCTTTTTTTGCATTTCATTGTATTGTTGTGTTCTGTGGCCTGATGAGTCCTCGTGTTCCTTTTTGACCCTAAAAGCAATTAAATCGTGAGAGTGTATCATTAATATGTTGTGCTCATACTCTATTAGTCGCTGTTGACAGCTCATGATTGATCTTCTCATCATTTCACCCTCAATCGCCATCCAGCACAGCAAGAAAAAAAAAAGTGTTCTCACTAGTGCCCTCTTGTGGTTCATCCTGGTAATTTTCGTGTGTTTCCATGAGCAGCTTGTGGTCGTGATTGTGCCGATAAAGGTGCAAGAATTACGCCCTCCTCGCCCCGGCCTTCCATCGCGGTCCTTAGGACGACAGAAGCACGGGGAGGGACAGCGACCGATAAGAGCGGCGGCAGGTTTCACCTTCCGAGTGTTTTATTGAGCTCACCTTGATGGAGGCCTCGCAGGGTCCCGGCTCGACCTTGGCGGGCGAATGTGGGACAATAACTCACAGCAGCGTGGCAACAAGGTTCCCGGGACGCCGTCATTTCTACACTCCGAGTCGTGGAGAAAAGTTTTGGCGCTCACGAGGTCATTTTGTACTGTATTAATGTCGCTTTTTATTAGTTTACAGTAATACGCAGTGACATATTGGGATTTTGTGACCTTCTTTAATCGGTTATAGTAGCAAACGGTTGGCGTTAGCCTTTAGCGTGCTGTGCTAAGTAGCCCAAAAAAATTCTACAGTAAAAAGTAAGAGCAAATTATGATTGTGTTCGTTTATTTAAACCTCAAGTCAAATCAGTTTTATCAGCAAATGTTGACATTAGCCATTAGCATGACATGCTAACTAGCCAAATACATTAAATGAATGCTAGTTTGACTGATTTATTTTCGCAGAGACAGTTGGACCATGAATCCGCTTCACGTCAAGTGGCGCAAACGCTAAGACATCAGTGAATGTGCGCTCCACAACGAGCAAAAGTTACATGATGTACTCGGTAAATGCTAAATGAAGCCAATTGACACGGCTTTAGCATGTTAGCCGAGTGTCCGCTCCTTAAAAATGGACTTTGCAGTATTAAAACTGCCCAGTGAGATGTTGCGATCACGCCTCTCAACCGTCAATAAAATCTCACCGGTAGCAAGTTTGTACTTCAAACAAGCTGACGCTAGCCTTAGCTGCTATGTGTTTGCAGTGTTAAAACTGCCCAGTGAGATGTTGCGAGCACGCCTCTCAACCGTCAATAAAATCTCACCGCTAGCAATTCTAAGTTTGTGCTTCAAACAAGCTGACGCTAGCCTTAGCTGCTATGTTGGTAGAATGACTTTTTTGCAATGGGGTGTTATAATAACATCAAATGTGATTGGTTCCAAATGTAAATATTTTTTATAAATGGCAAATAAGTGATAAACTTTCCTGTGGAGCATAAATGTTGCTAATCCCGCATCACTTCTGAGTCCCCGGTTAGCAGAAGCCCAGTTTCTCGCCTTATGTTGACCAGCCTCACGCTCTTATTGCTGGCAAACGAGGGATGGACATTTTTATTTTCCACATCTAGATATTCCGCCATATTTTCAGCAAAGCTCCTGAACCTCGAGCGAACAGTTCAAGTTCGCCCATTCCTGCAGCGCATCCCCGATCAGTTCTTCTTCAACGGCATTCATGTCTCCCCCCGCCCCCCTGTCCCCTTCCTCCCTTGTCGCAGCCGACTGGGCCTGATGGCGTGCACACGTGCCACATGCACATGCGCACATAATTAATACATCGATTTAAATGGTGATGACTGTGTGCTGAAGTGATATCCACCCTTCTAGTTGAAAGTCTTTTTTTTATTGCTTTATCAATGTTGGAATGAATATGATTTAACTGCTCATTTTACACACACACACGCACACACACACACACACACACACGCACACACGTCTGCTGGCTTATTAATTATAACGCTAATTAACCTAGTGCTAATCATTTGACTTCAGTATGTGTGTGTGTGCGTGTGTGTGTGTAAATATGTTAATTTGATTGGCAGATATGATGGATTATAGCGGCACACGATAACGACAGTGAAACTTCTCTTCAAAGCGCCGGCTCCCAGGCTGTAATTCTGTCTGGCATTCGGATCAATAGTTTTCCAAGTCAAATTTTCCGGCCTTCTACTTTCCCGTGTCACGTTCCGCGTCCTCCTTGAGTTTGACGAGAGTCGGCGGGGGGGATTGGGCTCGCAGTGTTTGTGTTTGAAGGCACGCTGTCATCTCATGTTGCATTTGGTTGTACTCTAAAAACTCTTAAAATGAGCATTCCTGACTCATACCTTGACTCTGACTTGAGGTATGAGCAGTTGATCAGGTCCTCGCAAAAAAAAAATAAAAAAATAAAAAATCACTAACCTAATGCTAACACACAATAAGTATATTAAAATGGCAGAATGTGCTCGCCATCTCCTTTCCCGTAGCCTGCTTCGGCCTTGGAAATGGTGCAGCACCTATCGATTGTTGGAAACGCTTCGGCTAATGCTAGTTGCCTGCAATCAAAAGTTGCGGGAATTTGGAATTTGGTGGGTAGACCAACTTTTGGCGAGGCGCAAGTTTACCTCATTGGAGGCCTTAATTTTTATGGCCAGAATGTGTGTACGTGTGTGTGAAAGCGACCATAAAGTGTGACAGAGACACTATAGTGTGTGTGTGTGTGTGTGTGTGTGTGTGTGTGTGTGTGTGTGTGTGTGTGTGTGTGTGTGTGTGTGTGTGTGAGTGACTGACTGAAAGGAGTGTGTTTGTTGTGAGAAAGAGACTAAGGTGCAGGTGTGTGTGAGAGAGAGTGCAAGAGTGAGACAGAGAGCCAGTTTAAGTCATGTGTGTTTGGGTGCGTGCGTTTTAACCTTAAGGAATCACAGAAAGTATCTGTCGTAAACAGAAAGCAGGACGGGGCGGTAACCGGCGGCAACCATCATCAATCAGTGTAGAGTCATGGCTGCTGGCAAACGGAACGTGAACAGGAAAGGCGCCTTTCCCACGGAGGTGAATGAAAGTTTTTAGTTGACGCAAAGGACACATGCAGACAACGACTGCCCAAAAAGCTCCCCAATCGGTCGTTAGCTTTCTTTAAGTTTTCATGGACGCCATCCGTGCCTTTCCTTTCTCATTCCATCCCTCCATCTTTTTGCGGTGCGGCATCGGCGGCGCGCTCTTCTTCCTCGGCGCTTCCTATCAAGTCTGTTCTTTCTGGATGAGTGGCTTTTATGTGGCGTGCGATAAAGAAGGCGAGCGAGGGATGAAGGGCAGAGCGGGAAGGAGCGGTGGAGGACGGACGGACGGACGGACGGTTGGATGGGAGCTTGGACCATTGAGGTTCGTGATGTCTTCAGTTTTGAACGCTTTTGACGATGAAGTTTGTTTCCCGCGCCTGGAAGGTGTTGAGAAAAAAAAAAAAAGCTTCTTTCTTGTACACTAAGGCTACCTTTTGGAATCACTTCCTATCCCCCCCCCCAAAATGCGACGTGAATGGTTTTCTTTTGGCATCAGGATCTTTTTTTTTTTTTTCCACTCAGTCTCTACTCCCGAATCACTATTTCAAGATTTCTATATAATGGACTGTACAGTTCACTAAAAAAGTCCACCAACAATCTTTATACAGTGATTAGGCCATAAGTAATGAGTCTGCCTGTTAGCATTTAGCATTCAACTAGCTTTTCCTTGGTTTCTCGCCACAGACTCTGACTGTCATTACAGAACTCGCGTGGATCATCACAAACTTGCTGACATGCACACACGCTAATGAAAGCTGGAGAGTGTGTGAGGGAGTGAGGGGTGAATGGTTGGACTTTAAGAACGTATTTAAAAAAAAAAAAAAAATCCAAAGGCCTCTATTGACTTTCCAACAGCTGTGTGTGTGTGTGTGTGTGTGTGTGTGTGTGTGTGTGTGTGTGTGTGTGTGTGTGTGTGTTGTGTTATGCCGCACAAACCAGCATGACGTAGGCTTGAGATCCTTTCGAACTTTATCCCCCCCCCCTCGGGGACCGAGAGCAATTTCGGCGACAGGTTTTCCCACTTTGCTCTTTTGGCTTCTCTTGCCACCTCTCGTCACGATGGTCGAATTTCCCCTCCACTTGATCGTGGCATCGCTCTCTCCCCGCTGCTTGATGTTGTGCAAATCGCGGGCGCTTTATCTTCCGTGAGGTCGCGCTTTATCTACCGTGAGGTAACCACACCCTCCTTTCACGCCCCCCCCCTTCCCGCACTCCCATTCAGTCGCAGCGTCTCGGTGTAATGGGATTACACGGGATTACAAAAAGCAGACGGTCTGTAATCCATACCGCTCAATCCCATTTACGCAGGAGTAATTCCTCCTCGCTGCTGCTTTTAATCTTCTTTCACTCCCACCATCTCCTGGTGTCAATTAGTCTGCTTTCAACCCCCACGGCCAAACATCCAACCTTCAGCAAGTCAAAGGTCAACATGAGCCGTGCTGCTCAACAACATGCGTTCGGAATGGATGTAAAGAGCCTGTTCTTCATTTACGACACATCTGAAGCATCAAATAGAGGAGGGCCTTGATTTATGAACGCCTTGGTTATGTTTATGTGTCAAACTAAACATCAAACAAAGAGAAGTAAACATGCATTCAAAACGACCACATTGTCTATAACATTTCCTATTGTGAGTTGGCATTAAAATACAGACAGGTTGACAAATAGCATCTATGGAGCAGGGTTTTTAATATATTTTAAATACTCACAGGCATGTGTTCTTCATCTTCTGCAAAGAATGACTAATATTACTCCAGTTTACAGTCACTTAGTTGTGAAACTCTTCTAAGTTTATAGCGAATGTTTGTGTTATACTGCCCCAGGTGGCAAAGGTACACACTGCAGGAGTACTTTCGATGTTAGTTTTCTAATCTGCTAATCCTCACGAGGGTCGCGGGCATGCTGAAGCCAATCCCAGCCATCTTCGGGACGTGAAAATTTTTTTTACAGCAATTTAGAGTAGTTGCGAAAGTCTATTTGCTTGTGAGCGTGGTCACGAAACGATGTCATGTCATATCTCAAGGTGCCATTGATCAAGAAAGTTGAGTGATGAGCCTGGCCAGAAAATAAATTAAACTTGTTTGTCAGGGTGTCACGGTACAGAAAATCTGTATAATTGACAGTGTTTGAATGCCCCCCCCAGGCGACCTGGTGGTCCAGTGCGTCAACCTCACAGTGCAGAGGGACCGGGTTCATTTCCGGCTATGGCCTTCCTGTTGAGAGTTTGCATGTTCTCGCCATGGCGGCCTTCCTGTTGAGAGTTTGCATGTTCTCGCCATGCTTGCATGGGTTACTCCAGTTTCCTCCCCCATTCCAAAAACATGCATCACGAGGGTCGCGGGCATGCTGAAGCCAATCCCAGCCATCTTCGGGACGTGAAAATTTTTTTTACAGCAATTTAGAGTAGTTGCGAAAGTCTATTTGCTTGTGAGCGTGGTCTGGCAACCGGTTCAAGGTGTCCCCCACCGACTGCCCGAAGATGGCTGGGATGGGCTCCAGCACCCCCGTGACCTTTGTGAGTAAAAACGGATCGGAAAATGGATGGATGGATGGATGATTGCCCCCCCCCCCAAAAAAAAAAACATTCTTTGAAAACAGTTAAACCTTCAAGTGTTTTCCACGAGAAAGGTGGGATTGCCCCCCGAAAAATAAAAACAAATAAAGAAAATGTAAAAACAGCCCCGAAAAATAAAAATAAAGAAAGAAAATGTAAAAACAAACAAACAAACAAACAGGTGTATCCGCGAGTACCAATCCGCGAGTAGACAGGGTTCTGCTGTACAAACTTTCTTGTACTGTAGCTAAAAGGGTGAGTGTTGTCCAAAGTCCAACCCCTTCCCCTCCTGACCAATCGTAGCTACGGTCCTCCACGGCGTCTTTTATGATTGGTATATCCCCATGTCGCTCTCGTAGCAGGGGCGGGGCTACGTCAGAGCGTGTGCGGCAGTTTGCAAGCAAGTCGTTTGCATTCGAAGAGCGGACGCGGAGGACACAAGGTGTCTTAGGGCTGAGAGTTGACGTGCGGAACGCCAGACCCACGACCATATCAACGAGTGGACAAACCAAAACAGAACACGAGACTCCGGGAGAGTTTCCGGGGCCCCCTCCCCACTTCCAGCATGTCGCTTCCCGGCTCCCCCTCACTCCTCTCGGCGAGCTCGGGCGCCCCAACTCCGGCCTCTCTTTACCGCTCGCCACCGGAGACGGTCCACACTTCGGCGGCTCCCAGCGGAACCTCCAGCCCGGCGCACAGCAACTCCCACCCCCACCCGCACTCGCTGTCCCCGCGGCTTAGCGGCGGCACCGTGCTCGGTGGGTTTCTACCCGCACCGGGAAGCGCGCTGTCCGGTTTAGGCAACGGCGCCGTCGCCCCGCTGGTGTCCGGGCTCGGCGGACTCGGCTCGCTGGGCTCGCCCGCCTTGAGCTCCTCCGGGCCAGGACCGTGCGGCGAATGCAAGCTGGTGGAGGTGCACGGCGTCAAGGTGGCCAGCTTCAGCGTGCACGGCCAGGAGCTGATCTGCCTGCCGCAGGTGTTCGACCTCTTCCTGAAGCACTTGGTGGGCGGCCTGCACACGGTCTACACCAAGCTCAAGAGGCTGGACATTACGCCGGTGGTGTGCACCGTGGAGCAGGTGCGTGTACTGCGGGGACTCGGCGCCATCCAGCCCGGGGTCAACCGATGCAAGCTCATCTCCAGGAAGGACTTCGAGGTCCTGTACCAGGACTGCACCAGCGCCAGGTCTGTGCAAAGTTCGCATTCTAGAATGTTCTAAAACTACTTAAAAGTACTCAACTAAAACTTCGTGAACTTAATTGTGGATTTATTCTAACTTTCAAACTTTATATTGTTGTTTGACTCCCGCCGTCGGGTTGGAAATCCGTCTGAAATATTCATTTGTTCTTTACGTTGCCATCCAGTCCGCCACAATCGCAGCGGTACATGTCAGAGGTAATAATGAATCATGCGAATGCGCATGCAACAACACAGCTGGAGAGCCATTGTTGCTGAACGCACACTCCCCCCCAGCCTTTCAAATCATATTGACATTCCTCCAGTGAACACCCCCTCACCCCCCAAGCTCCCACCCTTCTCTTCAAATCATGTGCTGGGAAAGGGAAAAATTAAAAGAAAGATGAACTCCCACTGGGGCTTCATCTTCTCAGCCATTGAGCGTGCATCTGTGCGAGACAGTCAACACAGGGCAGGTGCACCATTTCAACCAAACTTTGGCAAGGGCACAAAAAATGCAAGTCAGAAGACAGTTGCATATTATTTTATTAACTCATTTGAAGCGGTGGGAGGAAAACGTGCTGTTTTGTCCTTTAACCAGGAACAAGTTTGTGTGTGTGTGTGTGTGTGTGTGTGTGTGTGTGTACCCGCGTGTGCGCGTGCGTCTGAATGGATCGTGAGTGACAGGCGAGGGCTTGCTGATGTCGAAGTGTTATTCTGGGCTCTTCTTATCACGACAGGCTGTTGGAGACGACACACACACACACACACACACACACACACACACACGGCGCACACACGGCGCACATTCAGAAGATGGAGTCGTTTGGGTGTGCTGAAGCATCACGTTCACACACGATTAAAGATTTTATTTTATTTTTTGTAGTCAACTCCAATGCGATGGAAGTCGATTTGAAGTCTATTAATTGATTACGTCATTGATATCGTTCAACATAATACAGCAGCAGCGATTTTGCGCCGCGGGTCGGTTTCGCGTAAAGACAAGCATGGAGATAAATACAAACCAATGAATAGTTTGCATCTTTTGAAGGTAACTGTGCGACCGGTCTTACTTTTGGTAAAATATTTCCACGCGGTTGTTGGGAAAATAATAAAGTTCTCGATAGTGCATTGTTGTTCCCTGTGCATTATTGGACATAACATTTTGCCAATGAAGATGGAGGTTCACTTCATGCTGCGCAAAAAAAAAAAAAAAAGTGCTGAATTTACTCAATTTTTTTTCGTCTACTGGTTTCATTAAATAAAATCATCTGAATTCAAATATACTTTTGAAGTATACTGTACATCTATTTCAAAAATGTATCTGGATCCAGATGATTTCATTTTTCGCAACCACTTGATGAAGTAAAATCGAATAAATTCAACCAACATTTTTTCCAGTGTTGCCCTTGTTCCTGGCCACCAAGGAATCCCGCCGCGGCACCGCTCATATGAATATTTTAAGACTAATGTCAAATCAAATCGCTACAGCTCGCCAGGCTAACCACGACTTTCAAATACAACTAGCTTATGCGTAGTAGTAAGGTGAACTTGTTGGTAGGCATGGGCTGGTTACTGCTTTCAAGGTATATCGTGGGTTTAAAAAGTCATTTTCAGAACTGCTAAAACGTTCCATCGGGAATATGTTTCGCTATCTGAAACGTGACTGTTTGCAATTAGCTATGTGAGTTATCATGTCTGCTATTGGTGAACGAAATACTATAGCCTCACTCCCAAAGCAAATAGCTAGCATTGCTAACTAGCATTGCTAACTAGCATTGCTAACGTTAGTTCATTTCAGCTGTAACGTTACATCACGTTGCGAAGAAAAGCAGAAAAGTGGCTCGTCATTTTCTGAGAAACAAGTGCGTAGACAGTTTGACTTTATTTACGCTTTATTTTGACCTAAGCTATGGTACACGCTAATTGGAAAATCATTTACTCAACCATTTTAAAATATTACGTTTTACAACTGGAATTGCCATACCGTGATACCGTTAAACCGCAATGTTATTGCTCACCCTTGTCATACCGTCAGAATCTCCGACCAAGGGAGTTTACTCGCAAACTAGCTAACTAGCGCAGCGTGCATCAGTTTGTTTTTACTCTGACGTTACTCCAGAAAACGAAGAAAAGCACCGTCGAGACTTGTTTTTTCACAAATGCTTTTACTGTTGTACTACATTGTGATTTTATTTGGAAAAATGCAACTGTTTATTTTCTTTGTACGTTAACTAGTGTACACGCAGTGCTTATAATGGGGAAAAAGTTATTTCACCCAACATTCCAAAATAACACATTTTTAGAGTACTGATTACAGTTGATCACACTCACTAAAGTCCTTTCATAAGCTGGCGGGTTTTCATTCTCTGCCGTGGAGTATTAAGTGGCTTTATTGGAGCACTGTGGATCGCAACGCACACCTCAGCCAAAAGGCAACACAACTGGCCAAGTGTGCACATATATGCGAGTATGTCGAGCACACACTGCGCTATCAGTGTGTGATTCTTGATCAGTTGTCGCAGAGGCTCATCTTGCACGCGTGTATCGTTCACCAGTAGAGGCGCCCTGTCCTCGTGCGGCCGCTTTTACGAGAAACTTCGAAAACATGCTCGGCGAGCAACGGCTCCGACCCGACGGCCGCTCATCCTGATTGCGTCGTTTAACAGCGATGTCAGTTTCTCTCAGGGAGTTCTCGCGAGGCGACCCGGGCAAGAGACACTGAGGGAGGCTGCTCTCTCTCTTTGCCTCTGTGTCATATATGAGAGGAGAGTGGGGAGTCGGAGGGGAGCGGGGGGG